ATTGGGACTTGCTTCATCCATCCTTGATACCCGACCAGATGGAAGGAGTGTTGCCTGCAAAATCGGACTTGCTTCCTCCATCCTTCTTGTCGTCACCCCACCAGATAGGAGCGACTGCAAAGTGGAACCTGCCTCCTCCATCCTCGTTGCCACCCGACTAGACAGAAGTGAAGTCGCCTGCAAATGGGAACTTGCTTCCTCCATCCTCTTTGCTGTCATCCGACCAGACAGATGGGGATCTAAATACGCTGAATAGTGAGATGTGTAAACATCAGTCCTGCAAGAAACCAGCAGCAAGGAGATCCTGTTACCTCAATAGTTTCCAACCTTCACTAATAGGCTTCTCTAAAGAGCCAGCAAAGCAAATTATCACTCCAAGACTATTTTTACTTGCTCAACATCATTCTGTTCTTAGCTCCAGACATGTGGCATAGTTCTAATGATCTAGCATTGAAATGCAAGCTAACCTAGGCATGGGCAAGGGTACTCGTGAGGCATATGAATCTAGATCTGGCAAACGAACTCTTGTAGAGAACCTGTCTGGTTCTGGCACCCTCAAGCCAACATCTTCTATCCTTGACCTACTATCGAATTGTTTCGGTCCCAGTTTTTCAACCTGCTGCTATATCCAGAAAAGAATTTGTTTGATAATGAGCGAAAAAGAGTATACTAACAAGGATAAAAATTTTGATGCTTATCTGCTCTCCACAGAACATACCTTAGAAATTAATGAAGCTAGATATCCTCCCTTGTTCTGCATATCAGCTCCAGACAACATGAACTATACATAAAAGGCATTGGAAAATAGAAGCATGAGGATCGAAATCGATATTTAATTGTTTTTGAATATACTGAAATTCTCACTAGAAAGATTCACAAAAGGTATAAATATTTCAGACCTGGTCAAGAATAGATATGGCAGCTGACTGGGGCAATATCTTAAGACTGGTTAAACTTTCAACATCTATCTGAAAATAAAAACTCATTCAAAACCTTTAGCTGGTTCTAGGTAATACACAACAATCAACATCATAAATCGGTAGTCTTACAGCAACTATTATGAGGTAACGGATGTTGCATAAAGCAGGTGAAAAGCTTATGTTGCAAAATAATATGTCGGCAGATTTCATAATGCGACGTGCGAACCAGGTAAAAACTCTAGTTGTTGTTTGACCACACAAGCATACACGTAAATCATGTATTTGTATGATTTACATTATGTCTCATTTTTCCACCTTCCTGAAGAGATAAAATGGCGCATCCCAGATCCTAAGAAATAAGAACAAAATCTTCCATACCGTAATTAGTACACAACTCGCCCGCTACAACAATGAACTAATACAGACAAAATTACAGACTATTTCATCAAAAACATGGAAAATTCCATGGATAACTACACTAGTATTAGACATTTACATTAGAACAAAGAATTAATAGGTACCATAAAAAAACATGGAAAGATTCCATGGATAAATACACTAATATTAGACAATTACATTAGTAAAAAAGAATTGACAACTATAGATACCACATGACAGAAAACAAAGAATTTATATCTTGCCACTACTCACCACTTCTAGGTTGTGCATCGTGAGTTTGCTTTTGGAAGGAGCCAACACCACTCCTCAAGAATCCATATAACGGAAGAGGCAAGAAAGAGGATCTCAAATTTTATATCAGCTTGTTTGGCAGTTCAATACACAAACACTAGAAACCAATACAAACAAACTACATAATGCAATCAACACCGAACATGTCTTTCTTTGTTAATACATACTCACAGGAAAAGAAGAAATTTTGCATATTTTGCTTATGATGATAACAGAATAAAAAATAACACTACTTGGGCAGAATTGACATGAAAACCTTCTTGACAAATTAGGAAGACTTAATAAACAAACAGAATTACTACTTCGGATAGTAGTGTCCGTCCGTTAACTTACATCATATCTAGTAGCAATACCAAGCCGCAAGATCCGAACTAAACGCTCCTTGACAACCACAGGTAATGCAACTACAGCAGCTTCATAAGGATCCGAATAATCCATCTCCTGATTGAAGAAATATAATCAAACCAAAGAAGACAGATTTGGAGTTGTACGACAAATATCAACCATTCTAATCAAAATGAGCTTAACAGTTCAATCATGTAGCTCACAAATACTTAACATATAGACTTGCTTCAAGCATTTATGCTCATAAGACCGAATACAGTATTATTACTCCTATTATATTATCTTGATATGGTAAACCCCATCCTACCAAACCTCCATGGTTGAAGTGGAGGAGAGCTACCAGAATATTAGGTGCTAGGAGGATATCCACAAGAGCAAGAGGCAAGTTTTATAAAACGGTTATTAGACCAGCATTGTTATATGGGAGTGAACTTCGGTCCTCTAAGGTCCCATATCCACTCCACAATATAAGTGTTGAAGAAATTCTAATGTTAAGATAGATGTGCCACCATACAAGATTAGAGAAAATCAGAATGACCACATACGACATAAGGTTCAAGTAGAATAAAATGAGAGCTCTTAAGACAATTTGGTCATGTCCTACATAGACCTCCAAATGAAAAGAAACAAGGTAGACCTAAAATCACATAGAATGAAGTTATCTCAAAGACCTACAGTCGCATGAATCCATGCAGATTTAGAGAACCTCTAGTACCATGGAACTCCACGTTATAGAATATCCAATGAAATGAGTTCAAATAGAGTGCAATGGTAGAGTAAATTCATATGGCGACCCCAACTAGCTTGAGATTGAGGCATAATTGTAGTCGTTGTCTCTTGCATATTTGAAAAGAAGAAATGATGGCATACTACAAACATAGAAGCATCAATTTGGCAAATAAGAGCAAGCGCAGGAAATTCCTATCAGAACTGCTTTTACTTTAGTTTCAAGGAAATTTTACCGGCAAACATTTGCAAGATTGAAAAGCCAGCATTTTAAATATTTTAGAGGAGAAGATCGTCGGAATTTTAAAAAAAAATTAACATCTCATTTGCATCACCAGTTGAGCAGTTGATTTAGGAGCCCTAATCATCTCAACATCTGGATCATCCTTCAAAAGCTTGGAATGACTCTCAATGGTACTGGACATGTTTGGATCCTCACGACCTCGTTTCCTGTTCTTGTCCATTGGCCTAGCAACTTCGACCTGTTAGCAAATCATAATTAATCACCAATATAGGCTTACGTATCTGTAAACTATCGTTGAAGATATCAGCTTGGACAACTTATGAAAACTAGAAAGGATAAAAATCACCTGAAGCTTGCATGAGGGACCTCCCATTGGCCCTTGTACAGTTTTCTCATTCAACGCCATAATAGCATTGTCAAGATCCTATCCTCACAGCAGAGAGGAAATGGGATTGGGGAAAGAAACAAAAGAAAGACAATGTCAGCTGTACTAGAAGCGAAATTGCAATCTTAAGGGTCACTTTTTATTTGGATTTCTAATTTTTCCTCATAAAGTCAGATTTTCCCACAGAACTGATAGCCAATGCTACTACACAGATGATATCCTTTCAGTTTATTGTACTGCTTCTAGACAAAAAGAATAGTAATTGTCTATTATTCATCATGAGTAGAAGCAGTAGCTTTAATGTTGCTAAATGAGACTTGTAAGCATATTAGTGAAAGAAAGTAATGACAAACTGCGCTTCAAGAAATTTTTGCAATGGCGCTATTGGCATATTGCCAAACTTTCTGTTACTCTCTCACACATCCTTCCAGATATACAGAAAATTTCCCTTTGAGGACATCATTTTCCTTCTCCCACTGCCCATTGAATTCACCTCTTGAGCCCTCACTATATAGGTCCCCTAACATCAGCTCACTCCATAGAATATTGATGGTTAAGGTATGTCCCACCACCTTAATCTGCTTCCGAATTGCCTGGCAGCTAGTCTTTGATGCTTTAGGTTAGGAAGAATCTC